CAAGATGACAAAAAGTACTTTATATTCAGGAAAGGACCCAGAGGCTTAGTGGCTCCAGGGATGTAATCTAGTCCTTGCATGCTCTGGTTCTGTACGTCGTACCAGGGTGAAGGTAGGTACCTCAGAAGGGTATCATCTGAAACAGCTCCCATGCTGAACAAGGAGTTCTTCATAGGATTATCTCCATCACTGACAGCACCCTTGGTAAAAAGCATCTTGGAATCAGTAAAGGATCCATAAAACTGAAAATTATGTACACATCACCCTCCACTAAATGAAGCCTTCATCAAGAATAGCCAGAACGTGAGAGCTGTGTTCAAAGCAGGGAACCAAAACCCAAACTCCCCTTCTTGTGGAAGAACTTTAATCACTATGCTTTTATTCAACAGCTGCATGCCACTGTTTTTAAGGAAAAGAGGGATCTCTAAAATAAAATGTATAAGGGGTTGCATTCCGGACAGGATTCAGGGTCTTGATGGTGTTTTCTGGAGTTCATGTTTAGGCAACTGACGTTCAGGGACAAGAAAGACAGTACACTTTATGGGCACAAAAATGAGCTTAGCCTCTCTGAGTCAAAGAATGGTTCTATTCTTGCTGTTGGGCTGGATAAAGTGAAGCAGAGAGATGAAACTTACACTTTATTAATGAATAAGGGGCATACCTAGGAGCGTAACTAAAAGCACTGACTTGTATTGCTTTCCTCCAAATGGTAGAACACACTTGCCGCACATGCACAACTTTCTCGAAGTGTTGGCTCACCAAGAAGAAAGAGAAGACCAGAATCTATGACTAGAAAAATCCAGAAACTGAGTGAATCTATGAAAAGCAAAACACTAGCTCCTGTGAGCTTATCTCATTGCCCCACCTGGGATTACGGGACGCTGGTTGTGGCTCAGTGGCTAAAGCAGGTTGTTTTGAATTATTAGGGCTGCTTGCAGCATGAACAGTATTTAAAGAAGAAAAATGTTAGCTAGGAGAACAACGCACCTTGTACTGTACAAGTTCAAATAGTTCAGGCATGGTATGGTTAGGTGATGGCACATCCTTTGGCCTCTGTGACACCAGGAGTAAGCTTGATCTTTGGCCCCAGGTGGAGCATTCGGTGCAGTTGCCACCCTTTGTTCACTCTACGTATGGTAAAGACAGGGTGATCTCAAGGCTACAAGCAGTAGCCCAGCTCTCCGGTTTTAATGACTTTGGTGGTTTGCTGGGCATTATCCCACATGCACTTCTTGTTTTGCACTGCTGTAATTCCACGCAATAGTAGGTACTGCACTTACGCAGGTGCAAATGAGGAAACAGGCAGTTTCTCTGACATTGATGAGCACTCCCTCCTTCACTCCACGACAGACTGCTGTAACATGGACAGTGCGGCTGTCCCACCCCATGCAGATTTCTCCATTAGTAAATGACACTCCCATCAGCAACCCTCTCTAGGCTGCTTCTAGCAGGTGACTCCTTCTACCCATTCTGTACGATATGCCGTTTGGTTGCTCATCACTCTCTATGGTAAAAATCTCACCCTTTGCTGCAGGAAATTCTACCTCTTGGGCCCAGGTGATGCATCGGTGGACAAATCTCTTTTCTCACCTTGCACCAAGACTTTACGCTTCCAGCCCAACATGCTGCAGCTTCTTGCAGAGAGGAAGGATGCAAATTTTGACAATTTCTCCAGAAAATGTACCTCATTTTGTGAAGACGGTGTAATTTCCTCCCTTGCCTCACTGCTTTTAAGCAGTTCACACAGAAAAGACAAGAGGCAACGGGCACAAATTGAAATACAGGAATTTCCATTTGAACAAGAGAGAAAAACCTTCTTTTACTGTGAGGGTGGTCAAACACTGGCACAGGTTGCCCTGAAGGCTTATGGAGTCTCCATCCATGGAGACCTCCAAACCCCGACAGGACGCAGCCCTGAGCAGCCGGCTGTACTGACCCTGCTTGGAGTGCAGGGGTTGGACTAGACGATCTCCAGAGATCCCCTCCAACCTCCACCAGCCTGTGAAAAGGGCAGCCATATCATACGTCAGTTTGAGGAGTTGCTTCAGGCTGTTCCTTCATGACAAGATACATTTTATTCCATTTACAGTGAAAATAAACAGGTTTTAGTCAAGATCATAATATGGGCTGGGGCGGGCATAGATGTTTTTCTAAAAAAGAAAAAGGAAACAAAGTCCTTTCAATTTTCTTAAGTTATTCAAAGAAAAACAGCTGTACATGAGATAAGGGTGTCTTGATGCATTGATAAATTCTTCGTTTGATGCAACTGAAGTCAATAACAGTTTTTTCCAATAGTTTCAAAGAGCAGAGGAGGATCCAGATGCTGCAAATATCCCAGTATGCTAACTCTCTGTATTGCTCAAAGGTAGTAGTGTCCACCTATTTCCAGTGGAACTGGGGGTACCCACGTGTCTGTCATGAAAGATAAGCAGTGATCCAATGCGCAGATCTTCAAAACACATGGGCAGCAGTTCCCTACCTCTTGGAGGCACTACTGTCCCAAGGTACCACAGAGGTCCTTAGACGTCAGAGTGCCTGCTGACCATTGCAACCCTTACAGTCTAATGCTGCTGAACACCCAGAGCCTGCTAAACGCTGTACCCCCCTGTATAAACCACATAAAGATTCACTGAAGTGCAAATGGGGACTTTACTTTCTGGTCTGCAGGAGATTTTATTAGCCTATGCAAAGTGGAAGAGTTTCAAGAGAAAACACTGAGAGTCCTGGCTTGACATTATTCTCTAGACCAGTGGTCAGGGCACTCTGCTGAGACACTGGGATGTTGCTTCAAGTCCTTGCTGAGAAAGAAGTTGTTTTGATCTCTCACATCCTGAGACAGTACTACTACCACCCGATTTCTAGGCAAAAGGGACACTACATTATGTGACAAAGGGCTGATTGGAAACCAGAGTGGGCTTATGGAGGAGCCCGCTACACACATGTGGGCTCCTCCCTGTGGGTTAGAGTTAGGCACCTGCCTTCATGGGATGGAGAGGCTTTGACCCCACCTTCCTCCTTGGGGTAACCTCCTGGCTAGTCTAGGCAGGTATTTGTGGTTACCTTCTTACATTTCTAATGTTTCCGCTTACTGTATAGGGAACCTTAGTGCTGGATCACACTAAGCAAAAGACACACCAGAATATAGGAGTTACAGGCTGAGCGCTGATAGGAATGAACCCTTTTATGGAACAAATTCTACATCACTAAACTGAGAAAAGACAAATTATTTATTTTTTATTAGTTCAGCTCTGTTTAGCTTTGTATTTTCTTGACAAATGAAAATAGGCTAGTTATATTTAGTTTTGACCTCTTGACTAGATGCGCCAGCATCATGCTCCGATACCTATGTGACAAACATTTTGTGTGAATCTTAATTAAAAAAGACAGTATTATTCCCTTAGATATTGCAAAACTCTTCTTTCCTCTGAAAGCCAAAAATACATGATGGTATTTCTTTCTAGCTAAAGTACTGGAAGTAGCTGGTGCTACAGGTAATATTTGAGTGATGCTTTAGCAGTATATCAAAGTGGCTAAGTTTGCCTTATTTACTGCGGAAGAAATAAATTTACTCTGGTGGAGTAGCAAAATAATTTCCACTATGCAAAAGAGAAAAAAAATAATATAAAGTACAAAAGAAATGAAAGATGATTGCTTTTACAACAATTTACCTGCTAAATCAAAAGCTTCTATACCAGCACATAGTACTGAGTGTAGAAGGTTAGCTGACATTAGGAACATGCCATAAAAGCACCTGCTCCTGAAAAAGTGCTTTTAACTGAAGGCACCAAATTTTATTTAGCTGTAGAAATGTATATAGCCACCAGAAGGATAGACTGAAAAAAGCATGAAATAATCCTTCCACTTTCCTCGGAACTAGCAAGGTTGCAGCTAGAGTAACATATTAATTCTGGACAACATACTGGGGCATGAAAGAAGACGTGGACCATTTGGAAAGGGCCGAGAAGAGAGCAAAAATATTGATATGAGATGTGTAAAACAAAATCTATTGTTAGGACCCCAATACGGTTGACAAAAATAAGCATGTGGTTGCAGAGCCTGCAGGAGAATACTTTAAATTACCAGTTCAGCAGAACATCTAAGCATAGTTCTTAGGTCTTACAGACTTAAGGTGTAAGGACACAAAACACGCAAATCTTGATGCCCTGAGGAAATATAAAACCATCCCAATGACATCTTTCACAACAAAATTAACTCCAGACCTAAGAAACTCAGTGCTAAGGAGAGGTTGAGCAGAACCACTGGGAAATGTCAGGTATTCTACAAACTGCAGGACAGCACAAACTCTCACACGTCCCACGTAAAGCAAGGCATCTCAAAACTCCTCTTCAGGGAACAAGTGTTAATGGAGATTTACTGGAGATTTGCTGTTGGTAATTGAACAATCATTCCTCAGCGTGCATTTCACATGTGGAGGGAGACTGCTGTGAATTGGAGATACCGTGACTAAGATTCAGTGATCCCATTTATCACAGTGCTAAATGCGCACAAGATTGCCTGTCCTTAACTAAAGCAAGCTCAGTTTCTCCGGGGCTTTTAGCTGTCCGCAGCCGCCTGAATGAAGCCTTTCTGTTGACGCCCATGGGGTCCCAGGGGTGCTTATGTCAGTTCCTGGTGCTGTCCCTGTTCATCTTAATGTACTCTCGTCAGCCCCCTCGGAATTTCTATTCAATATCACCTTCCCCGAAGGCTCCTTCAACCTGAATAAACTTGGGTTTATTCACAAACGAAATAAGCAGCGCCCACCGACTTGTCGGTTCTGCCTCTGAGAGCCAGAAGAGCAAAAAGCCGAGCGGTTTGAAACCCAGCCTTTCCAAGTTGTACGCTTCGCAGCTGGACACTTCCAATTCTGGTTTATGGCGCTTGCTAAGACCAGACCTAGATCCTCAGAAAGGTCCCTTCTGAGCTTGCAGCCTACAAAGCCACCTACCTCCAGACCTAAGACTCGCTACAAAAAGATTTCCCAGACCGTAAAGGCATACGGCGTTCATCTAAAGCTTTCGGCTTTGGGTGCGACTGGTCCCTCACAACGTCTGCCACCGCATGCCGAGGCCAGGTTCCCGCAGGCAAGCGGGACTCGCGGGGAAAACTGGCGGCCGGTGCCCTGCCCGCCCCGAGCACGGCGCCCGCGGAGCCAGCAGCCGGCCGGGCTGCCGGCGCTCGGGCTTCCAAAGGCTTCTGGGGCGCTGCAGGGGAGAGCGCGCTCCGCAGGCGTGGCGCTTCCCGCGGCAGCGCCTCTTTGACAGGAGGAGGGAGGAAAAAGAGCCGCGAGGAGACGGGACCGTGCCCGGCACCGGCACGAAGCCCGCGCCGAGCCCGCGGAGCCGGGCGAGCAGAGGGGGGGCCGCGCACCGCCGGCCGCCCCCGCCCTCGCCCCGCCG